GCAGATCCTCTTATGTTCAGGGGGGTGTAGATGTTTTTGTTCCTTCTGAAGTCCACAATCATCTCCTTTGTCTTCTTCACATTGATGTGAAGGTTATTCTCTTTGCACCAGCTCTCCAGGTGTTTCACCTCTTTCCTGTAGCTGGGCTCATAATTGTTTGTGATGCATCCCACCACCGCTGTATCATCTGCAAACTTTACAATGTGACAGCCTGGATGGGTAGCTGCACAATCATACGTGAGCAGAGTAAACAGGAGGGGGCTCAACACACATCCCTGAGGAGAGCTAGTGCTGAAGGTTATGGTGGAGGAGGAGAATTTGTGGATCCTCACTAACTGTGGTCTGTTTGTTAAGAAGTCTAGAACCCAGTTGCAAATGGAGGGGCTTAGTCCTAGTGTGGATAGTTTGTCCGTCAGGGTTTGGGGGATCATGGTGTTGAAGGCAGATGTGAAGTCTACAAAGAGCATATGGACGTAGGAGTCCTTCTGCTCCAGGTGGTTGAGCGCAGTGTGGACCACAGAGGAGATGGCATCCTCTGTTGATCGGTTCTCACAGTATGCATACTGATGAGGGTCCTCGTTGATGTTGATGGTTGTTTTTGATGTGAGTCATGACCAGTTTTTCGAAGCATTTAGCAACTATTGGGGTGAGGGCCACTGGCCGATAGTCATTCTGACCAGTCACTGTAGAGCTTTTTGGGACTGGAATGATGGTGGCAGTCTTCAGGCAGGTGAGAACTGTCTCCAGGGTAAGTGAGGTGTTAAAGACGTCTGCCAGCACCTCGCAGAGCTGATCAGCGCATTCTTTCAACACTTTTCCGGGGTTGTTGTCTGGGCCGGTTGCCTTGTGCGGATTAATCCTCCTGAAAGTACTCCTTACTTCGGCTGAGGTCACGCTGAGAAGCTCTTCATCCAGTGGTGAGGCGAGTCTGGTGCTGGGTGGTCTATTCGGGTCTTCAAAGCGTGCATAGAACTTGTTGAGAGCATCAGGCAGAGATGGGTCTTTGGGGCATTGTTCGCTCCTTCCCTTATAATCTGTTATGCACTTAATGCCCCTCCACATGCTCCAAGGGTCTTGTGAGATGAATTGACCCTCGATCCTCTGTGTATATGTGGCCTTGGCCTTCTTAATACCAGCAACCAGCTCTTTTCTTGTCCTACTCAGCTCCAAAGTATTTACAGTGCTCCACTTTTTCCACATTTTGTTACATTACAGCCTTATTCCAAATTGTAATCTCTTTCCTCAAAATTATACACATAATACCCCATAATGACAATGTGAACAATTGTATTTTGAGATTATTGCAAATTTATATATATATATATATATACACATATATAGGTAAGTAATCACAGTCTTTGCAATGAAGCTTCAAATGGAGCTCAGATTCCTCTCGTTTCTACTGATCATCCTTGATTGGACTTGATTTGAAAAGGCCCTCACCTGTCTATAGAATGTCCCACAGGTGACAGTGATGCACAAACACCAAGCATGAAGTCAGAAGAATTGTCTGTAGACCTCCGAGACAGGATTGTGTTGAGGAACAAATCTGTGGAAGGATACAGAAACATTTCTGCTGCTTTGAAGGTCTCAATGAGCTCAGTGGCCTCCATCATTCATGAATGGAAGAAGTATGGAACCACCAGGACTCTTCCTAGAGCTGGTTGGCCGGCTTAACTGAGCAATTGGATGAGAAGGGCCATAGTCAGGGAGGTGACCAAGAGCCCGATGATCACTTTGTCAGAGCTCCAGCGTTCCTCTGTGGAGAGAGAAGAACCTTCCAGAAGGACAACCATCTCTGCAGCAATCCACCAATCAGGCCTGTATGGTAGAGTGTCCAGATGAAAGCCACTCCTTAATAAAAGGCTCATGGCAGCTCGTCTGGAGTTCACAAAAAGTCACCTGAAGGACTCTCAGACCATGAAGAACTAAATTCTCTGGTCTGATGAGACAAAGATTGAACTCTTTGGTGTGAATGTCAGGTGTCATGTTTGGATGAAACCAGGCGCCACTCATCACCAGAACAACACCATCTCTACAGTGAAGCATGGTGGTGGCAGCATCATGCTATGGGATGTTTTTCAGCAGCAGGAACTGTCAGACCAGTCAGGATAGAGGGAAAGATTAATTCAGCAATGTACAGAGACATCCTAGATGAAAACCTGCTCCAGAGAGCTCTGGACCTCAGATTGGGGTGATGATTCATTTTTTAGCAGGACAACAACCCAAAGCACATGGACAAGATCTGAAATGAGGAGTTTCTGAACCACTCTGTGAAGGTCTTGTAGGGGCCAAGCAAGAGTCCATACTTGAATCTGATTGAACATCTCTGGAAATATCTGAAAATGGCTGCACAGATGTCTCCGATCCAACCTGATGGAGTTTGAGAAGTACTGCAAAAAAGAATGGGACAAACTGTCTAAACATAGGTGTGCTCAGCTTGAAGCATCATCTTCAAACAGACTGGAGTCTGTGACTGCTGCCAGAGGTGGATCAACAAAGTAATAAACAAAGGCTGTGAATATTTGTGAAAATGTGATTTCTTAGTTTTCTATTTTTAATAAATTTGCAAAAATCTCAAAAAAAAATTTTTTTCACATTGTCATAATGGTGTATTGTGTGTAGAATGTTGAGGAAAGAGAATTTCGAATAAAGCTGTAACATAACAACATGTGGAAAAAGTGAAGCGCTGTGGCTATTTTACGGATGTACTGTTTAAGTAAACCGATCATCCCCATCATTTGAGGAAGCTATGCTGTCTAGTTTTTATATTGATTAAAAGTAGGGATGGGGCCAATCCAGTATTGGTATTGGCGTCTGATTCCAGCATTAATTACGTATCAGATTTTTCCGATCCAACGTGCAGAGATTTCCGATCCATGATGCACGTCTGTGTCTGATGAAATGTCTCCATATGTTATTCCCTGCCAGCTGCTCTGCACATTGGCTTCAAACTATGGAATGGATTTCCTGAACCTTCGTTCAGGTCTCATGAAGCCCAGAGTAATAAGACCCGCCTCACATTCAGGAAATCCATTTCATAGTTTGCAGCCAGCTACAACGTGAAGACTGAGCAGCAAAACTGTGGCTAACAGCTAACCAACTTTTCATCGAAACGTCCGCTGTGTGGAAGTATTTTATACTAGAAACACCACAAAACAAGACGGCAATGTGTAATGTCTGCAGAGCCACTGTACAGAGAGGAGAAAGCTCCGTCATGACCTACAATACAACAAACTTTATCAAACATTGCACCACAATAAACTGCGGTAAAGTTATCCTGATGCATGCGGTAAAGTTAGTTTTATGTTGGACATTCAAGTTCCTTGGCTTCAGTGGTATGTTCTTCTCATTCAGTCCAAAGCAGGCAGTCTGATTTCGATCAGCTGCGCTCAATCTGCCGCGCTAAGTCTGTCCATCTCTGAAGAGGAGCAGACTGAGCGCGGCTGACCAAAATCAGACTGCCTGTTGCGGATTGAACAAGAAGAAGACATCGCTGAAGCCATGGAGCTTGAATGTTTACCGAGAAGTTGCTCAACTTCATCGTAATTAATGACCAACCACTATCAGTTGTAGAAAACGAAGGATTTCTCAGCTTGATACTTGCAGCCAAGATATAGTTTACCCTCCAGGAGATATTTATCAGTACAACAGTAGACAATCATAAAAAGCATATGAATTGGAAAAAATACAAGAAAATTATATATATACGTATATAAAAAAAACAAAACAAAAAGCAATGTAAAATATTAAATCAGAAACATGTCTGTGTTGGTTTATGCCATGAACTTAGCAGATGTTTAAAGCCATTTAATCACTTTAATATCCACTTTTAAGCTAGGAATAAAAAAAACATGTTTTGTGTTAGCAGGGTTTAATTCTAACTTTGAAACTTATCCAACATTAATAAAACTTACTTCAAGTTGCCTTTCAGGACATGCATGAATATATTTGTACAAATTGTACTTGCCCATTGAGATTTTACAGGCTCATAAAATCAATTATGATGATGATATCGGAGCGGTATCGGCCAATATCCAGATTTAAGTATCGGGATTGGATCGGAAGTAACAAAAAGTGGATCAGTGCATCCCTAATTAAAAGTTCTGGTTCCGCCATTGTGCCTAGTGTTGTATAAAATTGGTCCTTCCACTTGCCAGGATCCATCACTTTGCACTGCCTCAAACATGCAAACGTTCTTCTACACAATGTAAATCGAATAGCTTTCAGTTAAAACATTAAGGTTTTCTTGCATTCCCTGTTCAGTTCTAGTCCAGATAAACTCTCACTGCTTGTTTTTCATTTAATATATCACAAGTTACAATACATGCTGTACATGTGTGGACATACAGTAACATTAGACATACATTAAAATGGGAGACTGAGACGAAGTGAAGATTCAACTTGTCTGCTGCTTCCTTAGATAGAGAACTTTACTAAATGGCTTTTTTATGTATGTGGATGTTCCTGTAAAGTGCCCTGAGACAACTTTGATGTGATTTGGCACTATATAAATAAACTGAAATGAGTTTAATTAATTTTTATTTAGCTGGTATTTTTGTTTCCAGATCATCCTGTTACAAAACCTGACAACCCAAAGGATCCTACAAACGAGCGTAAGAAGACAGAACTGAATCTGTTTCACTCTTTTTTTTTTACATTTGTTAACATGCAAAACTGAACTTTGCAACACTGTGTTTTCCAGGAACAATGTATCTGATGGACACTCCAACAGTGATGGGGATCGCCTTTGCAGCATTTGTGATTGGGGTTCTGTTGACAGGAGCCCTGTGGTTTATCTACTCACACACAGGTAGGTCCTTTACCTGTCGCCCCACTGCCCTGATGTACCTCTCAGCAATGCTGAACAGATAAGGAACAAAGGAATGTCCCAGCGTTTCAGTGCCAACACTGTGATTGCCAAACATCCTGTGGCTGATAGAGGCCATTCACAATAACATATTGACTCTCTCACTGTAAATATGTCCTGCTGGTCAGCAGCAAGAGCTTGTCTCTTTCCTGTCTTTCAAAGTTTCTTGAGCCATAAATGGTCAGCAAATATTTGCAGCACAATGGCTGAAGATAAGTTGGAAATCCCCCTTGTTGGGTTTAGAGGGTGCTCACAGGAAAAGACACACAATCTGTCCATTAGATGCCAAGTCCTTCCCCATCTTCCCCGGCCTGCTGACCCTCACTGACCCATGAGAGGAAGCCTGCTCCCAGCCGCCCACTGAGTTCACGGGTACACAGAGCTGCCCTGTTCTGTTAGCCTTTAACTGTTGACCTGCTGCTCCGTAGCAACGTTCTTCATGGACATCCGTCAAAAAGAGGACGTTGGGAGCAAACTGTGTGAAGTTGAAGTTTCTTAGTTGGATATAAGACCTCACTGTTTGACAGAGTTAAACGATTTTGTTAAACCAGCGGGTAGATGAGCCTGACACATCTCAAAATGATTACATCACAAAACTCTGCCAGTTCTGCTTCATTTGTAAAGGTTTTCTAGGCAGGATGTCCTGCAGCTGTGGGGATCAGCTGTAATGTGTCAGGACCTTATCTTTAACCAATTATTTTCCTTGGCTTTTCTTTAGAAAACCACTTTATTTCAGCTTTATGAATTTCCAGGTGAGTGACCAACGAAGAAACACAATAATGATAACTGGCTGCTTTTCCAAAAATAGACATCAGACGGGAACGTGTAAAAGTTGGAACAAAGATAGTAAATATGGAACAACATGCACGGCTGTTGTTCGTGTTTCACGTGTTTCTGATGATTTTTCAGAAAACGAGCCTTATGGTACTTTAGATTGTTGTTTTAGGCCGTTTTGGCTGAAACTGCCTTATACGACAGCTTTGCAGTAACTCCAAGAATGCAGATTACTCCAAACAACAACCCCAAAATCACAAAAGGAATGTATGTGGCTTGACCAGTGTTATGAAACAAGAAAACTGTTTGGATTAGTTCCCCTGACATCTAAAGACCTTTGTTTAAAATTTTTACATGCCTGCCGAAGACTGGACGCAATCCATCCGTAAACATTTTCTTGTCCCGCCCATAATTTTTAATCTGCTCAACTTAACTTAATGAAACTTCATACACTTATGCATCATCATTAGGCGGATTGTTGTGTATACTGTTTATCACCCAGCTTCAAGGTCAAAGTCACAAACCAAGGTAAAATGTTATACAAGGTCTTAGCTTGTCCAGGACAATGTTATAGATTGCTGTATAATACCATACTTTCTGCTCTATAAGTCACTACTTTTTTCACAGGCTTTGAACCCCATGCCTTATAGGATTCAAGTATTTTTATGGTCATTCACATCACATGTGGTACATAAGGTGGAACAAAACTATGTACATAGGGTTCCAGTTACATCCAACAAAAACACAAATTGTAAAGAAAAACACTAGTAAGATCCAAGACATGAACTACGAAATATACTACATTCACTAAACTAAGAATACACAAAACTAAGAATACACTAAGCACTAATTGTTCAAAAACAACACGCCAAAACAACAGCAGCATGAACATGAGTCTGTGAAAGCAGATGAGGACTAATGTTACAATGTGGATACCTGCAGCTTATACTCAAGAGTGGCTTATATATGCACAATATTTAATTTTACTCTTTTATTTAGTGTGCGCTCCATAGTCCATAATTTCTGGTAGTTGTTTGACGGGTGTATATTGTGTCATATGCAGTATTCTTGTTTCCCTTTTTGTTTGAAGTATTTTTTTAAGGGTGTGAGGGCAAAAGCACTGAAGCACTTTTATTTCTACTCTGTTAAAAACGTTTGTTCTGCATCCTGTACAGCTTTGAAATAAAGCTTGCAAATTACACAATAAATCCCACAACTCCATCTGAAATAGTGTACAGTGACTTTTGGTTGCAGTATAATGTATAACATGGACAAAAAAAAAAAACCCGTAAGAAATAGTAATGGAGATAAATGGGATTATGGAGAAAAGTGAGAAAACCCAGTCATCTTTGGAGCTCTACAGCTCAGACGTACTTCACAACAGAAACATCATTCAAAGTTTAATTAACTCAAAGAAAGTTGGACTTTGCATGTCTAAGCTGGCATTTTGATATACTTTACAAATGGTACACAATCACAGTTGAGGTATTATGAGTTTTCCACAAAATGTTTAACATCTGATTATGTCAAATAGCAATTTTTGAGTTGTAAACACACTTTGTTTGTTCTCACAATTTATTTTGGTTCACAAACGGATTAAACATCAAAACAAGGACATTATTTATCCACTGTATCTCTTACTGCTATAGGACTAATGCTTTTCTCTTGAATCCCTCCAGAATGCAGACAGGACCGTTCAGTTATATTTAGCTCAAAATATTATCTACAAGAAATGAAGTAGAGTCTTATTTAACTTGTCATAGCTTCTATACCATAAAAAAAATTAAACCAATATGTTTGACCATTAGAATCTTCTGATAATCATAAATTATGTGTGAATTTTGTTTTTTGGGCCTTTTGTGGTTAGTTTGTGATGAGTCAGGTCAAACAAGAAATGTCTTCACCACCTCTGTTCCTTTAGTCCAGTAATGTAAAACAGCAAAAACGTTATTAAAAAGAAAGGTGTCAGACAAAAAGCATGAAATAAAAAAGTTCAAAAAGAACATACTGTACAATATATGTAGCAATATGTGCAGATTTCAAAACCTCTGACCTGGATTCATCAAGACACAGGTGCACTTCCTGTTTTATGCTCTATGTTGGGCATAATTTGTCCCTGCAGACTGCGTTCTTTTTGTTTTATACAGTATTCATAAAGCAAATAGCTATAGATGTATGATGGCACAAACATACCCATAAAGTTTAACAGATTTGACCAATTTAAACCCTTTTTGCATCAGACTGTGGTCGTTAGAATCAAATTATGACTGTTTGCAACTAGAGGATGACACAGGAGTGGATTTTCACTCCTGTCCTGTCTTGGTCCCACAGAAAAAATCCTGTCCTGTCCCAATCCTGGTAACATGACTCCTGCTCCTGTCCTGCTCCTGTTTTTCATTTATTTTTTAGGAAATACATTGCCTTTGATTTGATCTTCTACCCATTCCTGTTTAAATTACTTTGTGTTCTGTAGTTTTATTTCAAAATATATGGCAACTGTGGTGAAATAGAGACATTTATTTCCTTCATCCAAACAAAAACCTTCACTAAATGTCATAAAACAAATAATCCATGGCCTGTAGTCCCTATAATTTTTCTACGGAGGATCAGCTGCTGAGTCCATGTTTCTAGCTCTTTTGAAGGTCAGTTACAGTAAAAACAAAAAATCAAAACCAGTACATGGGTCATACCATGTCTACCTTAGATGAAAGAACCCAAACATAACAAGTTGCATTTTACTAATTTATTGAGCAATTGTTTCCTTTAAACAGTGACATTACTGTCATGTTTTAAATTGTTTAAACAAACAAACAAAAAAAGAAAAATAATGTACCAAGCAGAGAACTCAACAAATAAAAATGTTTAAAGGCATTATTATACATTGGACAACGTCCTCAAGAAGTTCAGTCTATGTGGTCGAGGTAACGAGCTCGTTTGGGCGAAGCATGATGTCGTGCATCTTACCAGACTTCAGAGCATCATTTACAGACTGGATCATTGCAGGTCTGGTGTTCCACCTCATCTCCACAGCTTCAGTGACCGGTCCAGCACCTTCAGTAACCTAAAGTGAAAGAAGACAGTGCACAAGTCAAAATAGGGTCACCATGACTACAAATTACAATCTGTTGGCCTTTCTTTTGGAAAAAAATATTTTATCAAAAACAAGAGATTTACAATTGAAATTAAGTCAAGAAAATGTGACATTTGCAATTATAAATTACAGTAGCTCAATTTTTCTTTATTTATTTCATTATCATATTTTATAATTATTTAATCAGCCTCACCAGGCAGAGATGACAAGATTTTATGTATCTTACCTGCTCTTTTGAAGTGTGTGACAAGGGTCTTTGTGTCCAAAGCTGTTTAACAGCTTGCTTCCAGAGCTTACAGTTTCCTGTGTTAGGTAGAAAAAATAAATTAAATTAAAGAAAAACAAAAAACTTAGTGCTACTTCTTGTTGTGCCATGCTTTCAAAAACAGTTATTGAATCAAGGATTTACTAATGTAGGTAAACATAGATGTTTTAAAACCTGTTAAAATACACCAGAATGCAGGAAATGGCAGGTACTTTATTCAAAAAGTTATAGGGGAGGACCCACAGACCTCACACCAATATGTCCCCCCCATAATAATTCTAATGCTAATACCCACTGCGTGGTTCAAGCGAAGATCCATTATCAACACTGGGGGGTTAAGGCCCCTAAAAAGGGCTTCTAGAATCACCCCTGGTGTGAAGAAATGAACTGAGAAAAATCAACTCTTGGCCTAAAATTTAACACAACATACACATGATATCTTAAATCTAAAACTAAAACAATTATTATAATGTATATGCAACCAGTCTTTCATATAAAAACTGGGATATTTTTACCGGAGAATGCTTTCACTCTAGCGAGTTTGTTGTTGTACTGGCATGGTTACAGTCGACAGTAACTATTTACACAATAAAGTGATGGTTATTCATGTTTTCCTCCATTTCAGTATCCAGTAGGATGTCACAATATAAAAATAGGAATTTTTTTTAATGGAGAATGCATGCACTTTAACCAGGAAGAGTTCAGGGGGGGTTTTTTACATTACAAACAGCGACAGATAATGACGATTTTAACCTAAAAACCCATATAACAAAGCAGAGAATAATTTTTAAATTAAAAGGGACAAGGTGGAGA